GTCTCTCATAATCATATGGTGGTTTTGGGACGTTAAACCCCACATATCAATCAAATCAATTACGATTACCCGCATCTGCCGAAGCCATCTTTCGAAATATGATTGGACCAGACCTTTCGCCTGATCAGGCTGACGCTCTCTGCCGCGTTTTGGCCTCCTAGGGTGACAGTTTTTATATCTTTGATGATACCTTGGGCCAGACTAATATTGTCAAGCACCGAATCAACACCGGTGATTCTTCGCCCATCCATCGTCGGCCTTGCCACGTGTCCGCATCAGAACGAGCAGTGATTCAGAAGGAAGTAGACAACATGCTATCGAAAGACATCATCAAACCATCGTCAAGCGCTTGGGCCTCCCCAGTGGTCTTGGTAAGGAAGAAAGACGGCTCCTGGCGTTTCTGTATTGATTATCGGCCCCTCAACAAGATAACCAAAAAAGACGTGTGTCTTCTTCCATGTATTGACGACGCACTCGATTGTCTTCTAGGCGCCACCTTTTTTTCATCTCTCGACATCCGATCTGGCTACAGGCAAATTGCTGAGGATGAATTGGATCGTGAGAAAATTGCGTTCGTTACCCCAGACGGCTTTTAGCAATTCAAGGTCATGTCATTTGGTCTCTGCAACGCCCCAGCAACCTTCGAGGGAATCATGGACACGCTGCTTCTAGGATTTAAATGGGCGATTTGCTTGTGTTACTTAGATGACGTGATAATCTTCTCACCCACCTTCGCCACACACCTTGAACGTCTTTCGACCATTCTATCGACATTCCGACATGCCGGCCTCTAGATGAATTCTTCGAAGTGCCACTTTGGTCTTCGTCAAATTACTGTGTTGAGCCACCTTGTTGACGCTTCCGGAGTACGGCCAGACCCGACAAAAATACGCGCAGTAACGATTTTTCCCGTTCCGCGCTTTATCCATGATGTTCGCAGTTTCGTGAGCCTACGCTCTTACTTTCGCCGATTCGTGAAAGACTTTGTGGCGCTCGCACGCCCACTCACACACCTTCTTAAACACAACGTCCCGTTTTGTTGAGGTCCTCTTCAAGCTAACGCTTTCTCTCGACTAATCAGCGTTCTAAGGACACCACCGATTTTTGCACATTTCGACCCAGATGCTCCTACATAAGTGCACACAGACGCTAGCGGTCATAGCATCGGCGCAGTTTTGGCCCAAACTCAGCGGGGCACTGATCGTGTAATTGCACATGCAAGTCGTCTCCTTTCAGTCTGAGCGGAACTACTCTATAACAGAACGAGAATGAGTTGCCCTTGTCTGGGCGGTTTCGAAATTTTGTCCTTACTTGTATGGCCACCCGTTCCTTGTCATCACAGATTATCGCGTCCTCTGTTGGCTTTCTTCACTGAAGGACCTTTCTGGACGACTTGGTCGTTGGGCGTTGCGTCTTCAGGAGTACTCCTACTCAGTTGCCTGCAAGTTCAGCCGCCTCCATCTGGACGCCGATTGCTTGTCCCGCTACCCTGTTGAACAACCAGATGAATATGTCCGCGAGCCTGGCCTCTGCAGCGTCATGGTCATGTCTAGGTTTCGTCAGATTGGTGACGAACAGCACCACGATCCTTCCTTGCGGTCATTCATTGGCCGTCTGGATTCTGACCCTAACGACGTGTCAGTCCGCATGTTCGTTCTCCTAAATGGCACGCTGTACCGTCGTAGCATCCAGCCAGATGGCCCTGAGCTACTTCTAGTCGTGCCTAACCATCTTCGTTAAGTGGTCCTGGATGAGCTTTACGACGAATGAACTGCCGGCCACTTAGGCGTATCTTGGGCGTATCGTTGGCAGGATCCTGCCCTCGGCAAGTTATCTTTTCACCCACTTATCTTCATATTTACATTACAATTTGGTCTAATATCTTTCCCTATACTTTTCTTGGCATCAATGTCTGTTATATCTCGTTGTTATTGTGTAAAAACACGGAAAAACGAGCCCTTAGGTATACACTTCTTATATATATATATATATATATATATATATATATATATATATATATATATATATATATATATATATATATATATATATATATATATATATATATATATATGCGATTGTCATGCGAGGCACTGTAGGGGAAATGAATTTTGATGGTGTGAGAATAGATGCCCATTTTACAGAATGGATTGCAAAAAAATATGGCTAGGTGAAAGCGAACTTTAATTCGACGTTTCCGCATACTTGGCATACTTGTGCACAACTTACACGAGATCTATTTGCCATACTGAGCCGTTGCGCCAGTACCTAATGTTTAAAGCATAATGGTAAAATACTTTTGTGCGCAAAGGGTTTTTTTTTCAATAGGCACTCGTTATCTGCCACGATCGGAGTGCAGCGACTTCGCGCGGTCGCCACGAACACCACAGTGCCGGAATTTTCGTGGACAACAGGTTTAGCCATATCTTAGTACGTAGCACTAGTCTCGTATCTTTCTTTATGAATTACGATACAAATGAAAAATAATACGGTATTTCATAAAGTGAATATACATTAAAAGTTAGCCCCGTTTTCATTTACAAGTAACAACGTTGCAGGTGATGGTCTAATAATATTATTACGTCCGTAGTTTTGGCAGTTTCGTAGCGTGGCTAGTCATGGATGTTTCGTGTTTGCATGTGGGGTGTGGGACGTGCGGCATGCTCTATCGTGCGAGAACCTTGGTGACATTGAGATGTGACATTTATTGTTGGTCGCTTTTATTTATGGAAAGTGTCACTAGTCAAGACGAGCATGTTCGAGCAGTTGTTTGGTGCTTTGTTCGTTGTGCAATGCAGTGATCACTTCAACAGCGTTAATCGAGGGTCGTCGTGGTTTTCTCAGCTCGATATTTGCATGTAAGAATTTCACATACACATTTCCAGTACATGCAAACGTTGGTCCCGACGATAGTTATAGCGCTAGAACAAAACGACGACACAGAGAAAAGGACACGAAAGACAAGTGTCGTTTTGTTCTCGCGCTATAACTATCGTCATGCCATACCAACTAGCCCAAGCTGCCACACTTCTAAGCTGGTCCCGAGTATTTTTGTTTTTTATAATAAGCATTGTGTCATTGCATACCTTTCTGCACTGTGCGATGAAATGCGCGACACGCGCTCATGCTTGTTAGTGTAAGCATCCTTTGTGTCATGCTTGAGACTTATACAAGTATCTTTGCAGCAAGCGCTAGTATTTATGTGCAAGCGAATTTATTTGACATCTAGTCAGTGAAGTATTGAGTGAAAAATAATCGGTTGCCTTCAGTGTCGCACTTCACCTACATGGAAATGCGATTGCTGCACACAATGTCAACCCCCCCCCCTTTTTTTTGAGTCAGTTTGTCAAGCCCCGTAAGTTATGAGTCACCGCAACGGCGAGCCATCATCGTCACATATTTTTTTCTACAGCATTATCTCGGCGACTGCTTGTCAGACTGGGCTAAGGGTAATTTTAACGTTGTACTGCTAAACACAAATTGGTTAATGCCACTGGTTATTTGGTAAAGCTATACGTTTGCTGTAATTGCGTGCATTTGATGATTCGTTGCTTATTCATTTGATGATTCATTTGATGAGCCCATTTGTTTGATGATTCAGTGGTGGCTGTGGGCTTTTGTCAAGCTGTCTCTTTTGAAGAGCAGCTTTTACCTGCAGCTGTCTTTCATCAAACTATTATAGAAAAATAAACATTAGAATAATAATATTATTATTATTAATTGTATTATTAGTAATATATTAATATTATTATTATTATTATTATTATTATTATTATTATTATTATTATTATTATTATTATTATTATTATTATTATTATTATTATTATTATTATTATTATTATTATTATTATTATTATCATTATTATTATTATTATTATTATTATTATTATTATTATCTTAATTTCTTTCAGGTGGTGTACAACGATACGTGCAAGCACATTGCTCATCTGTGGATATTTTCCCATTACAACAACGCCTACTGCAAGTGCCCAAATGAATTTTCGAGTTTCACTACCTAAACCGTGTGACGTTTCGCTGGATCAGCAGGTCTTGGACCTATAAAAAAACTAATTAAATGACGTGCAATATACAAGCGTAGATCGTGCAAGTTCTGGACAGTTTTAGGATCGATCTTGGCTGGACATGATTCATTACTAAAGTGTCAAGGTTGAGCACTTTTACAGACAAATGTGTTAACTGCGTCGTTTGAACCATTTGGCATAAAATCAATTGGTGCAATTCTTTATGTACTGAACAAACCATTTGACTCAATTGGAATATAACCAATTGGTCCAATAGGAATACAATGAATCAGCCCAATTGGTTATACACTACTGAACCATTTACCCAACTGGCATACAACCAATTGGCCCAACTGGTCCAAATGGCCCAATGGTGTACTAATTCCCGAATAGTACCAATGAAACCAAGTGAAAATTTTCCGATTGATCCAATTGCTTTTTAACTGGGCATGCACGCGTAGCTCATATGTGATACAATAGAAAGAGCTCGAATAAGAGACAGGATGACTTGCACTTATTTTGGTTGTTGACGAAAAGCACGTAGAAGTGGCGAAAGCAGCAGCGTTTTCGGTGAGCGAAAGTGACCAATCGAACATGTGCAGCATGGAATTTCCTTCTCGCTTATAACTTTTCCGCTCCTTCGACATTTCTAGTTGGAAAGAAGCCTGTTCGTCTTCACTGCCACGGGCACATTAAGTACAGAACAATATGTTGGTAGGAAGAACAGTGAAAATGGCTATAGAGATGCTCAAGTGCTGGCGCCAAGAAGCGTGCGCAAAGTCCCCAAAGCCAAACACTGCTTTTCGTTATGCATACAAACTGTCACTGACATTTTTTTTTATTCCACTGCAAAGCGTTCAGTCTATCATTGCTTGAAAATTTGTTACCATATCCCGAAGCACCAACGTTAATTACGTTCAACACCCACTTTCACTTCTAACATAGTACAACCAATTTTTCAGGACCAACCGAACTCACCATAAAAAGGCTTAACTCGTGGCATATGCTTGCGTAAAGGTCAATCTTGTAATACACGTCGTCTATGTCGACAACGAAAATTGGGTTTTCTATGCCATCCTGCAAAAAAAGGTCAACTTCAGTCATCAGCAACGCAGTGAAAACTTCTGAATACCACAGTCCACTCGTTAATATTCTGGCGTTCAAAAAGTGGTATCACTTTGCAGTAAGCTGCTTCGAATATGTCAAAGCTCATTGCTCTGTTGTAGTCGGCCAATGCACAAGTTTGAAGCGCCGCAGTAGTTTTTTTCAGCCACCATTAACAAGAAGCCAGCCATAACTTGCTTACACTATCAGTACAAGGCTCAGTAGAGCTGATTCGTTCTTAACTTTTTCTTGCCATACGAAGTGATGATAGGTTATCCTGAATGATTCCAAATGATGAAAAGTTATACATGACGTTACACGTGAGGTATAAGTGATGCGAGTCTGGTTCAGCACAGTCGCCCCTCACCGTTATGACTGTATTTTGTCCTGGACTGCTTGAAACGACTCGAGTCTAGCAGCCTCGCTTGGCAGCGTGCCCCGTTTACTGATAAGCGCCTTCGCCATTGTTAGTGCGAACATTTTTGGGCTCGTTATGCCTGCAGCCAAGTGCTCGTTTTAGACAGTACAAAAGAGTACATGCACAGTTGGCAGTGGCGTAACCTCTGGCGTCACCTCGTGCTTGCACGCAGTACAGGACTTCTGTCTAATGGGCACACCACTATGTGCACACTACTTACGTGAGCAAGAATACCTGGCGCGACCGGCGCATACACCCATATCGAAACATGGTCGTGGCACCGAAAGCAGTTGTCGTCCACCTAATTTTTTTTAAAAGTAACCGACGTGCACTCTGTAGCTCGTTAGCTTCGAATACAATATTTTATTTGCTGCGATTGATTTCCTTAATATATGACTGCAATGTATCTGTGTCGATGCGGCTTCATTGCTGTAGGCTTAGCGAGTCGCGTTCCCGATATCTCAGACATGGATTACGTGCTTATTATTGATTTATTTCATAATACTGTCAGCCCTCTCATAAGGGCTCTTACAGGTAGGGTACAACCAAATACAAACCAACCAATGTACGTCTATGTCAGGTGCTAGCGTAATCAATAATACATGTGTAACATTTTATCGGACCGACAAGCACTGTCTGCCTTCACAGCAATGCCTGGCTACGCATTACAAGTCTTAAAGACAGCTGGGAGAAAGAAAACAAAGAACCTCAAACCAAAGAAACTTGCAGGCTTATCATCTGGCAGCTCATTCACTCAAATACATGTCCAACAATTTTTCGAATCGGCAAAAATCGTTTGCATTTACTAAGATGCCTGGCAACGCATTCCAAAGCTCAAACGCAGCTGGAAAAAAAGAATAACGAAACACATCACTCCGCAAAAGTACGGTACTAAAACACAGTCGTGATTAACCCGACTGCTTCGTTTTCCTGGTACTTTTAAGTACAAATATTTGGTAATTTTTAGTTGTCCATGCAGTATCCTTAGAAGAGCTTTCAACTGGTTCTTATGTCTTCGTGCCTCAAGTAATTCTAGTTCACAGGACGCCAACATCTGCGTGACAGTATCTTACCGGCGGTAATTCGTGCTAATGAAGTGGAATGCACGGCATTGAACGTTTTCTAATTTTGTATTTATCATGCATAGATGGCGCCACTTGCCGAGGTGGCAGCTACGAGACAGGCTATGTCACGTCTTTGCGTTACCGGAATTCCGGACAGACTAAAAAGCTCCAGGGTCCAGGCAGGCAAGCTTATGGCACAAGTGAAGCCAGTGACACAGACACCGTTACGAGTCGCACCGCTGCCGACACTGTTGCGTAGTGCGGTGAGGTCACGAGCCGCCAAAGTCACCAGCTGTTTAGTTAGCGTGTGTTTCTCAGCTAGCGACTGCTTCTGCGCAGAGCTGTTACACGAGCGGACAAGATGATTGTGAGTTAAGGCAAGGTTTATATAGAGCATAGAAATAAAGGTGTCACATATTCGGCACTGGGGCCGACAGCTTAGGGACTAGAAGAGCCGAGATGTCTTCTCTGTGACGCATACGTCGGCTGCTTCGCGAAGCGCTGCGTGGTTCTTTATCGGTCCCAGGGTATCCTTTACATAATCAATGTCCAATCAGAACTGCCACCGGGTTGCGTAAGAATCCCTCAATGGGGACCCGCCACGGGGTTGCGTCATGATGCTCAAATTTGAAGCCGTTGTGCTGTGTTGCACCCAAGGACGAGTAATGTTGCCACGCATTGCGTAAGACTCGCCAGACTGGATGGCGCCGCCTGCATAATCGGGTTGCTATCCGGCCAGCGGGTTGAGCGAGCTCGCCGTGCGTTGCGTAAGACAGACCGGCGGCGCCGGGCTACATGACGTCGTTGAGATAATGGCGTCTGGCGGGCTTACTCACTGGCCTTGGCACAGATTGTCTTTCCAGAGGCAATGACATTCGGTGTGGACTTCTAGGCGTAACAGCACCCCCACCGCCAGACAATGCGCCGTAAAGGTGAGCTGCTTTCACGTGGCTCGGATGTCGGGCGCGCTCGTTCGCAAGGTCCCTCCAGGTTCGCCTCCCGGGCCAGGGAAGGATGTGACTCGAAGCTCAGTTCCGTGAACGCATCCCATTCTTGAGGGCGGATCCCAGCTCCACTGGCTTGCCGCCAAAACTTGTCGACTAAATTTACTAGTCTTTTGACAATTTTTGGCCTCAGTACTTGTCGATGGTTCTGCAACTTGTCAAGAATGGTTCGACAGCAGACAACACACGACACAAGCAAGTGCCCTCGGTTACCCGACAGAGTACCAGACAAAGTGTAGTACAACATATACCTAGCTACGAGTCTATCGGAATTTCGTTCCCTCTACATCAAGAGGCTTATGAGGGACACAAGACTCTTAAAATAAGAACTCAAATGCTTACACGTACAACAACGTAAACTCAGCCCCTTGAGATCACTCTGGACGAGAGCACCCAGCTAAGGCTGTGATGAGGACAAAATTTTGCCCCGACTCGCCAGCGAAAGACGAAAAGGTGGAAGAGGTACTTTTTAAAACGCGTGACTCAATGCGTCTGCATTAGCGTTTAGCTTTCCTTTTTTTTTTTTGTAGCGAACGTCAAAGTTGTGCTGTTGGAGTATCATGCTGCACCTCAGTAACCGGCCACTTTTAGGTGACATGTTATTTAACCAGGTTAGAGGAGAGTGGTTCTTTTCAACCACAAACCTCGAACCGGAGACATAACAAGCTAGCTTTTGAACGGCCCACACGAGGCAAGCGCATTCCTTTTCAGAGGTACTGTATGCCTCCTCCCTGCCACTGAGTTTTGGACTTAAATACAAAACTGGCCTTCGTTACCAGCACTGTCTTTCTGACACAATACAGCTCCCATGCCGCGATCACTCGCGTTGCATTGAATCACAAATCTCTTAGATAAATCGGGTGCCATGAGAACGGGCTTTTCGCTTAGGGCCTGTTTCAGCTTGCAAAACGCATTCTCTTTTGAGTCCCATGCCACTTTACCGGCTCGGACTTTCGAAGTGCGTCAGTTAGAGGGCTGGCAACGCTAGAATAGTTTTGCACGTAATGCTGATAGTATTCAGCTAGGCCCAAGAATGCAGAATTTGCGGTTGGTCATGGATAGTTCACGACGGCGGCTACCTAAATTTTTGAAGATCTGTGCCGGCCACGCCCCGCAACTTGCTCCAGGTAAGACAACTCGCCGCACCCTATGTGGCATTTAGCAGGTTTCACGGTAAGGCCAGCTTCTTTCAACCTGCTTAGCACTCCTAAATGTTCGACATGTTCTTCCCAGCTGTTTCAGAAGATGGCGACATCGTCAAGATACGACAGAGCAAACTCAGAGAGGCCTTTAAGAGCGTGGTCTATTAAGCCTGAAAAACCAAAAGGGGCCTTTTTGAATCCGAAGCTGAGCTTAAGTGGACGATACGTTCGTTCGGAATGGAGAAACGAACACGGAAATGCGGCTAGCGCGCTCCGTAAGGGGTTCTTGCCAATACCCTCGCATGATATTTAACGTGGAATACAGCTAGACTGCGACACAGTTTCTACCCCCTCCTCTAGGTTTGGTATCGGGTAAGTTTAGTCTCGAGTTATGGCGTTAAGACGCCAATATTTATTGCATGGCCTAGGATCTTTTTCCGGCCCCTAAACAGTATTACAGGGGATGTATAGTCACTCTCGCCCGGTACTATGACCCCTAACTCCAGCATTTTATCGATCTTCTCTTTCATGATCTGCTTTTGCACAGGGGAACATTGATACGGCTTGCTACGGATCGGCTCATCACATGTTAGCTCAATTTCGTGTTCAATCATCGTCATGTTTCCGGGACGGTCCGAAAACACGTCTTCAAACTCGGAAACAATCTTCCTCAAGTCCTCCTTCTCGACATCACTTAACCTAGGCTCCAGGGTCAGCTGCCCCAAGATTGCATCAGATCCCTTTTCGATTAGATCACTAGAAGTCAAATTTTCTGCCGAAACGCGTACTAGTTCTATAGGTTCAGGGAACCAGCAAGATGTTGGCGTGAATCTTCAAAAAGGAAGGGGTTCGCATCGCGCAGGTTCCTTCGTGTACGCTGGGCCGCCTCCGCCCCCGCCCGAAAGACCAGCCAACAATAAACAGGACCCCCGATGTCGTTTACGAAATTCCGTGCGCCGAGTGTCCATCTTCGTATATCAGCGAGACTAAAAGCCTGCCGAAACGACTGAAGCAACACGCCAACGGTGTGGGGAAGTTCTGCAAAGAGCGCAGCGCAGTCACCGAGCATGCTGGGACATCGGATCCCCGTATAGATCTTGAAGCGACAGCCGTCCTTGAAAGAGAGCCGAACTGAAGGAGAAGGTTATTACTCGAGTCATGGCACATACAGAGGATAGCCCATTACATCAACCACTCTCTAGGAAACCTTCCCCCAGTGTGTACACATGAACTGCGCTCTATGGCAAAGTAAGAGAGAAAGAAAGCGGGTCATTACCTGCCAAGCGAGTGCTTTGAACATGCCGCTGCTACGTAGTCTCCGCAGTCACCTTTGAGGAAGGAACCA